ACTAAATAACATATTTCAATAGCTCTGAATTTCTGACAAGCATCTGTGTTTATTTTTAAATGAAATCCTATTTAAAATCCAAACATAATATGAACTGCTAATGTTTCTGGTAAAGAAACACACTAATGTTATGGATTCAAAAACAACCAAAATCACGATACTAACAAAGTGAATGATTTCCTGTTGATACTGCTTCTACCTGTCAGTGCTTAGATATTATCACGCTGAAAAAATGAATACAGAATTCCAACAAACTGTCATCAAATGTCTTTCTATTATAAATTTAGATGAAATGTATATCCCTATAATGACCTAAACAATAAAGTCTATGGCTTTTACTTCTTTACCAGGCTAGTTACATGATGTTGTCTAAATTAAATTCTGTCTCATTACATTACTATGTTTTAGCTTTAACTGTAATATGTTCTTTCTACATTTCAAACCTCAGTTACTCTAATGTCTGTTAAAATATTACAAAATTGTTTAACTATCACAGGTCAACTTCTTCGGTTTCACAGTAGCCCCTTGGCCACTGCTTCTGTGTTACCTGCTATAATTCAAATCAATATTTAGAAACATCTCAACATTCATCAAACAGTATCTTATCCCCAGATATGGAGCAGGTTAATTACATTCAATGCTCAATCCTTAAAAGAAAAATGTAAATTGTGAATTTTACAGCCATGTTGACATTTATACATTATACTCACTCCCCCCTTTTACACATGAAATAATGTGTAACAAAAGCCTGTAATGGGAGGGGAACAAAAACTGTCAGGTAATTGGTTAGGAACATAACGAACATTATTATCATTATTTCCACAGTGAACACTTCAGTGAAAAGAAGTGTTCCTCTCCGTCCTTCAGGCCTAAAAGAAACAGAATCTTCAGATTGTAGTTTTACATTTGCAAACCGCCAACTCATGTGAGAGGAAAATATCACATGTGCGGTTTCCCCTTTTTGTGGAATTTTTAGGAAACCTCTCGTTTCCCTTGGAGCTCCAAAATAATATGTTAGTCCAAAAACATGCTTGGTTAGTTATTGTTTTAGAATCATGCAGTTACACTGATCACATGCCGGCATACATTCACACTCACACTGTCTGGTTGTCATGTCAAGTTTGGTCAGGTTCACCCCAGAGTCAGTCATCCACAGTGCCTTGTCAAGTTACACTGTCGGTCAGGGTCAAAGGTCAGTTGGTCTCCGTCTTTTTTGGCCATGTGTCGTGCTCTGCAGAGACTTTGACATTTCAGCATAGGCCAGTATCCTTTGTCTACAAAAATATGTCACGATTTCAACTATAATTTTCAAGATGATTCTCACTTGTCATTGGGACTTCCGCCTCCCACTTTTCCTGAAACTTGGTACAAAACTCACTTCCTTCGAGTACCACTACTAATTAAAATGTCTAATGATCTATTTCAGACAATAACTATTATCTTGAGTCAAACCATTACTAGGATCTGTGTCGCTCTGCATTTCATAGCTCATTATAATTCTGGTCTACTTAAAAAACGATGTTAAACTCTTTAGCAGTGTGTGGAACCTTGGGTGTCTGAACATGCAACAATTACTCCCTCCTTTATCAAGGATTTAAAACCGAAGTCTGGTAATAACTATGCCACAATGGTGAAATCAACACTTTAGATTGGAATTTAATATGTGGCTTGGCACTAGCCATTAATACAAACAAAGATTTGTCCTATAGAGTGGTTCCTAAAACTATCCTTTTAATGGTGATCAATATTGTAACCAATGAGATCACTACTTTATTCACACGTGAATAAAAATGTCTTAAAGAATGAATTGTTAACATGATGAAAATATTGAAGAATATGGTTCTACTCTGTCAGTGTGTTTTAGGATGATTATCATTTTACTTTAATAGTTTCCTCTTTACTGCTATTTTTAATTTACCAAATGATTAATAAATCTTTCTGTCTTTACGTATTTATGAAGTTAATTCAAGTTATTTAAATGTGCGTTTCGTGAATAAGTGTGTTTATGTGTAACTCACTCATTCCCGTTCTCCTTTCCTCCTCCCCTGGTTTTCTCAAGCCGTGACCCCGGCCTCCTCACTTCTAATCGACCATGCCAACTCCTCTGATTCTGTCTTCTCTTCAGTCCATCAGCTGTTGAATCCATCCGCTGTAACTTTTGTAGGCAGCCATTGGCCCAGTCACATCTGCAGCCCCATCATGCCACTGTTGTTGCACTCCTCCTTTACAGTCTCTCTGCTGTTTTTATGGAGGGCGGATTCTGCTCTCATGTCTATTGTGCCAAATCTCGCAGGCGCAGTTTGGAACTTCATGTCCTGTTTGAGGGACCGATGAGAGTTTGCCTCTTTGTCAGCATACTGGTTTGGTTCTGGATGCCTCAGGTCGTTGTTGGTTCAGCTCTGGTTCTCTGTCTGTACGATGGAGAAGGAGGAGTCTCCTGTTGGGTTAGGTCTCGTTGTCTGCTTGGAGGGTCGGGATCAAAGCCTTTCTAACTCAGAGGGGGAGTCCAGGTCCCGGTACACATTACCTATAAGAAGTCTAGCACACTGATGTTAAATAAATCCAACCCTTTCCACTCTGTCTCTTTCTAATCATACTATCTGTCTTAGTTGTTAAATGCCATCTAAACAACATAATTAATGTCTACTTATGATATTACAAAAACTCACTCCAAAAATTGTTTCATCCATTGTTACATATTTACCCAACACAACTCTGAAATACTTACATGTTTCCAGCATCACATATTCCACACACTGTGAAAGAACATCTCCATATCTTCTCTCATTTTAAATCCCACTGTTACTTCGAACAATAGTAAACCTGCAGAGCACACCAATCGGATCACAGTAATGAAATTTGAATCAAGTGTAGGCCTATGTCTTCTTTCTGAACATTTATTTATATTGTCTACATTTGCAAACAGTTCGAGTGTAAAATGTGTTTTGCACAATGTATTTACACTCTACAGATTCTTGAGTTTACTCATCTCCTGGTGCTGTCGTTGTAAAAAATGTTCAATCCCTTATTGTTTTGTACCAGTTTACCAAACAATACCGGCCAGCAATGTAATGATTAAACTCTAAGCTCGCATAAGTTTCAAGGGTGTGATACCCCCTTTCAGCCACTAGATGGCAGCAGCAGAAGTTTCAAGGGTGTGATACCCCCTTTCAGCCACTAGATGGCAGCAGCAGAAGTTTCCAGACAAAGGGAAACGCTCTACCTTGGTTTAATATATAACAGACCTCTGGCTTTAAGCTTTTAGCATTGGTCTGTTATTTAAACCCCAGTTTTAAACGGCGACTCGATCTGATATATCGAGTTTTCAGGTTTTGCCGTGCAGGATTCAAACCTCGCATTCACACAAACTGCACCATTTCTACGCCACTCAGGAATAAACACCTGCAGATCCGCGCCAAACTGCTCTATTTTACGTCACGCAGGACTTTCGTCTACCTGTCGATCCACGTTTACGTTTTGTATATAACTTTCCTAACATAGTAAAATATGCATTGTATATTCCATTTAAACTATAAAAACACTGTGAAACGCCTACAGACAATCCTAAAGTTTTAGCGTATCCAATTACAGACAGGCGACTTTCATCGTCTGCTTACCTTATTTGCAAAGTTGCAGAGTCCTGCTGATTGTCTGAGATGTTTGAAAGCGTCTGAATTCTTCCTCAGCTTCGTTATCTCTAGACGTCGGGTCACCATTTTGTTAGAGATTTGGAGGGATATCTGGTCCGCTTTTCAAATCTCCGCGCGTTCCTATGAAGCTGGTTATAATACAGGAAGGAATCCATATCTACAAAGTAACCGTTAACAATAATCTACTTTAATGGCAATATGACAATGCAATACAATCATTACAATACAACATGATATATTACAGTTATATTGCAATGCTTAAGGAGTAATGCCGGCTTACTCCTGCTCTAGTCCGCATACTGCAGAGCTACTTTCACCCGAGGGCAGCATGTGAAGAAGAGGCCGAACGCCAGGGATCCTCCGGAGATATACCAGAGTAAGAAGGAGGGGTTTGGTGTTAGGTCAGCTGGTCATCTTTTCAGGTCATCTCATTGGGAGACGCAACGCAGCAGGAAACGCAGCAGGAAACCAAACAGGCTCACTTTCCAACAAAAGGTCTCAAGGCCTGCATACCTACACCTCCCCCACAGAGCAATAAAACCCTGTTTACTCCAACCAGCCCAGAATGTTTATAGCCATTTGTAGTCCTTACATTTATGAAAGGATAAAACAGAGAAATCAATATAAAACACAAACACAGGTATTGTTTGAACAGTATTCACTTAACTGCTACTATTGATAACCACCAGAGAAACCCAAGGGACTTCTCTTAACATCACAAACACTGCAGCTAGATCTAAGTTGAATGCAAATCAGGACATGCTCTCACCTTCCCCCATCTTCCTTTGTCCTCAAAAACACATGTCAACAGGCCCCAAATGCAGCTCACAGTTTTACCCAAATTATTCCCATTTTAAGCTTATCCATAGTTTGCTAACATGAATAAATACAAATATAACTCTACAACTCTCATGTGTTCCTTTAAATGTCCACTATGTGAAAAAGCTTTCTTACAGACTGAGCAGGTGAATGGTTTCTCTCCTGTGTGGACTCTCATGTGTTCCTTTAAATGTCCACTATGTGAAAAAGCTTTCTTACAGATTGAGCAGCTGAATGGTTTCTCTCCTGTGTGGACTCTCATGTGTTCCTTTAAATGTCCACTCTGTGAAAAAGCTTTCTCACAAACTGAGCAGCTGAATGGTTTATTTTCAGCACTACGTTGTGGATCACTTACAGATTCATGTCTATTTTTCAATGAGTTTGAGCCTGAGGCAGGTTCTCTGGTCTCCTTCCAATCAGCACTGTCTTCAGTGTCAGGTTCAGAAGAGTCTCCAGTGTCAGTTTCAGAAGAGTCTTCAGTGTCAGGTTCAGAAGAGTCTTCAGTGTGGTCCTCAGTCTCAGGTTGTAAACTGCTCTCTGGATCTGAGCTCCTTGTTGGTTCTGGTCCTCCACAGTCCTCTCCATCAGCTTCTGTTTCCAGGTGTTCAGTTTGTCTTTGATGAGGCTGAGAGGACTGAGGTTTCTCTTCATCATCTTCACTCTTCACAGGGACAGGAGTGAAGATGAACTCAATGATATCAGCCTCCTCCAGCCCTTGAAGCTGCTCTCCCTCCTGACTGATCCTGAGTTCCTCCTGTTCCTGCTTAATGTGTGGGTGGGGCTCTGGGTCCTCCTGGTCCAGACTGGAGCTCCACTCCTGCTGGTCAGGGAGAAGCTCTTCTTTAACCACCACCAGCTGCTGGACGTCTGCAGGAAACAGGAAACACACAGTCAGAACAAACTGCTAGCATTTAAAAATCTCATCACCATTACAATGGGAGACATTTTGCAGCCCTAATTAATGCCTTTGTTTTTATATGTTCACATTATCTTTCTTAGTCCCACCTATTGTGTATTTTTGTTGGCTCAAGTCACCTCATGTAGCCCATCCCCTTTCCACTTCCAGTTAAAAATGAAAAAGGGTTTTTTCTTCTGGCGTAGCACTAGCCGCAATGTAAACAAGGAATTGTATTTGGGATCGTTCACAGATACACTACGCCTACAGTATAGAATTACAATACTCTGTTACAAATTAAAATCCTGCATTCAAACCTCATTTAAGTAAAAGTATGCAAGTATCATCAGAACATTGTACGGCACCTTCTTATGTAAAAGTAATGACGTGCAGTAAAATGTTCCCTGTCAGTGTTCGATTTGAGGTTTCTTGATTATTTCATATGTTGCATTTTACTGCTGTACATGTTCAAAGTTGCGCTTGTATAAATGATTATAGATGAGGGAACCTGCTAAATATTAAAATGTGTGGAAGCCGTAGTACTGTAAAAAGCACGACCAATCATTTTAGGTTGGCCTACCTGCCTCTCAGCCTTCCATCTGTGCACAAACTTATCTCTTGCCCTCATTGGTCATGTGCGCGTTCGTGTGTTGGGGGAGGGGCTCTGTAAGGAAGTCTGAAGGAAGTGGCAGATTTGTTCCGGTTGTGTATTTTCAAATTCCAGTGCACTCGAGCGGGTTTCTCCAAATGACCTACCACACCTTTAACAAAAAAGTTTAAAAAAAATCCAGAATATGACTTAATTTAGATTCTTCAAAGTAGCCCCTGTTGCCTTGATGACAGCTTTGCTCACTCTGGGCTTCTCTCCGTCAGCTTCATGAGGTCTTCACCTGGAATGGTTTCCAATTAACATGTGGGCCTCGTCAAGAGTCAATGTGTGGAATGACTTGCCTTCTTAATGTATTTGAGACCATCAGTTGTGTTGTGCAGAGGTAGGGTTAGTGCACAGTGGAAAGCCCTATTTGACCACTGTTGTAATCCATATTATGGCAAGAACCACTCAACCCAGTGAAGAGAAACGACCGCCCATCATCACTTTAAGAAATGAAGGCCAGTCGATCCGAAAAATGTCAAGAACTTTGAATGTATCCTCAAATGCACTCGCAAAAACCATCGAACGCTATGATGAGACTGACTCTCATGAGGACCCCCCGGGAAAGGAAGAGCAAGAGCTATCTCTGCTCAGAGGATCAATACATCAGAGTTACCAGCCTCAGCAACCGCAAGTTAAAGCACCTCAGATAAATGATTACAGAGCTCAAGGAGCAGACAATCTCAACATGCACTGTTCAGAGGAGACCGCGTGAATCAGGCCTTCATGGTCCAATCGCTGCAAAGATCCACTACTGAGGATGGACAACAAGGAGAAGAGAATAGTTTGGGCCCAGAAACACAAGGACTGGACATTAGACCAGTGCAAATATGTACAGGGGTGCACATAACTGGTACGCAGGTACGCATGCGTGGCAAAAATCTGAATTGCATAACGTCACTTGTGTCAATACGCGCCTTTGCGTACCTCAAAACATCTAAACAAAACACATATTTTGTCTACACGTGTTTCTTGTCAACAGTCAATGGAGTAAACTACGAGACATGTCAAAAAACCCAAAGACATTAAGCAGCTACGTTGCCGTTTCGCTCCCTGCAAAAACTCTTCGGACTTTCTGTGACTGACTGAACTGGATCTGGCCGAGCCGCGCGGGACATAACCGACGGACCTGTGAAGCTTACAGGAGGCAGAGGCTTAGATCACCGGACGACAGAGTTGGTGCCGTGTGCAGACAGGGTTAACGTCGGTATGAACAACAGAATTGTGCCAAAACTCCGCCAACTGGCTGCAGTGGGAGACTCCCCTGAGCACACTCTGTGCCCCGCACACACACGCGAGAACTGCGCAACATCAGCTGATCACAACGTTCACGCTCTGTGGTCAAGCTGCTGCAGTTTGATTTACAACAAAGTGGAGTAAAACACACAGCTGCAAACTTCCACAGGGTGGAAGAGTTTGAAATCAGACAGAGGTGGAAGAAGTACTCAGATCTTGTACTTGAGTAAAAGTAGAAGTACCAGAGTGTAGGAATACTCTGTTACAATAAAAGTCCTGCATTCAAAATGTTCCTCAAGTGAAAGTAGGAAAGTATTCTCATCAAAATATAGTGAAAGTAGCGACAGTAAAAGTAGTCTTTGTGCAGATTGGTCCATTTCAGAATATATATATATATATATATATATATGATATGTTTTGTAATGATTGATCATTAAAGTGTTCTCAGAGCTGGTAAAGGTGCAGCTAATTTTACAAATTAGATCAAAGTCAAGTAAAGTACAAATATCATATAAGTAGAGTACTTGAAGATGTGTACTTCGTAACTTCCCACATCTGAAATCAGATATGACTTCAAGTCATGTGATAATTCCTTAGTATTTGATCCTTCAACTTGGCCTCAGGAAATGCAAGGACTTCACAGTTTTGGCAACAAGTTTTGGAGAAAGCAAATCGGAGGCTTAAAAAGAGACATGGAGGTGCATCTTCATCATCTTCATCATCTAGCATGCAAGAAGTGTAAATAGAGGACAGTGAAGGAGACACTGAGGAGGACCACGCTTCGTGTGGGGTGAGTACCAAATGCTGTCTTCTGGTACTCATCTGAGTAAGTTATGTGCACCCCTGAATCTGGACTTTGGTCTGATGGGTCCAAATGAGAGATTTCTGGTTCCAACCTCCGTGACTTTGTGAGACGCAGAGAAGGTGAATTCGGTACGTTTTCGGTACAGCAGAAAAAATTATCACAAAACATAAAATATTTGTTGGGGTTTTTTTAATTATTATTAAACTGTGAATAATGTATTCACTCACATAAATACAAAGTATAATAAAATAAACATTAAGGTGCAGCACTTCGATGAACTGAAATAATCTGTATTTGAACTGTACTGTACCTAAGCAGCCAGCTTGACATTAGGACTTGCTTGTCATTGGATTTTCATGTTGTTCTAAAGAAAGATGAACTTGTCCACATTGCTTGCCGAAAGGGCAGATCTGCTGGCACTAACAATGTCTCCTGCTGTGGAGAAAACCCTCTCTAGGGACAGAGGTAGCAGATACAGCCAGGTAGCGCTTTGCTAACATGGCAACATAAGGATATTAGGCGTTTGTAATAGCTTTGGCTCGGTCTGAACTTGTTGCGAGTGGTGGAGGCTTAAATGCTAGCGGGAGTTGGGTTTGCACTTCAGTCTTTTTTCTTTTGGTACCGGTGATATTCACGTTCGGGTGATGACTTTTCAAATGAGTGAAAGTTTGATGTATTGCCAGCCGCATAACCAATGTTAGTTGAACAATGCCGACAATCAGATTTGGTTTGATACAGAGCTAGCTGAAGCTACCAAGCTAAGCTAACATGCTCCCCATTCTTTCACACAGTGACGTCACGAGCTACCCACAATGCAATGCACGAAATACGCCATTATCCTGGAGGTGCAAATATCCTGGAGGTGCAAATATAAACAGCTAGCTAACGTAGCCAGGCAGAGCGCACTAGTTTTTTTTTCTGAATTAACGACTGAAGAAATCGCTGCATGTCTTCGGATTACATCTCTGGACTTGAGGGGTGTGCTCTAGCTCGTTACCAGCGTAAACTAGAGCTGTGTGGGATGTCGGATTGCCCTTACAGACTGCCTGCAGATGTATGGAAAAACGACCCTCGAAAGTGGCCTTCGGTCGATTTTGGCTGCATCTACGTCTATCTTCTGGAAACACCAGGTGAATACCCCACTTGTCACAATAATATTATCATGCCATTGCATATATGTGGTATTTTAGAGTTGACTAGATATTGATTAAGGCAATAGACTATGATATTCAGTACAGGAAGCTTAGCAACACCTAGACTGTTACAGGATTTTTATTTTGGAAAGTATTTTTTTGTCTTACTTCTCACGTTTTTTATTATATTTTATTATATCATAACTTAGTACTTTTATCTTATCATAGGTAACATTAAGCTGTCTGTGGCTCTTTCCTGCTGTAACGATGCAAATGTCCCCTCTGTGGGACTAATAAAGGTATTCCGATTCTGACTAGTCCAGGGCCTGTACTGTAAACATAACCTCATCATTGGCCATTGATATAATTTGGTACTACCAGTATTGTAGCTATTGTCACTGTGTTAAGCCTTACATTGATGCTTACCAGCTGTGAAATCAAAAGGTAGTATATCCTACTATGTTTGATGTTTAATTATAAGGTGACAGTGTATGTTTTACCTTTGTGTTTCAACAAGGTGTCCACACTAGAGAAGCTATGAAGAACTATAAAGCACTAGACTCCTACAAGCTGCTGGAATCTGGTTGGGTGCAGACAGTGAGGCATATGATTCCGGATGACACAACCCTTAGTGTCCTGAGAGCTGACGTGACACCATCATTCCGTGTGAATGAACCGCCTCATCATCCATGGGCAGCCGTTACCCAGCGTGGCGATGTGGTTGCTGCTCACTGTGACTGCAAAGCTGGGTATGTAGATTCCAGTATGTAGAAACTACATTTTTACTATGAACATATTCTTGTTGTATATTGTTCTTTGAAAACAATTCAATTACATAGGCATCATTGGAAATATGAAAACATTTGACCTTTGGTGGATGTCTTTCTCACAGAAAACAATGCCAGAATATTGACTTGTAGTTTGTTGAACTTTTACGTTGATTTATGTGTGTGGCTTGGTGAGTCATGCTCCCATATTGGAGGTCTGCTCTACAAGGTGGAGATGATCGTCAGAGTCGGCGGAGCAAGAGATCCTGCCTGCACTGATGTACTCTGCACATGGAACGAGGCAAGCATGAAAGGTGTGCAACCAGCTCGAGTGGCCGACATCAACTTCTATGGTGATAAGCCCAAAGAGAAGGTGGTTGCCAACAACGCGCCAGCTCGTCGAGCAGACCCCCAACCCGTCTCCTCTGATGGATTTGAAGACTTCCTTGTGTCCCTTCTTGCTGCCTCCAACCCAGTCATGCCAGTTGGGCTCAGCCTCTTCAGCTCGACTTCTTCAAACTTCACCCCAAAGAAAGCTGTTGTACCCTCACAGAAAGTCCCTCCAGGGCTGCGGCCCCTTTACAGAGGTGTGGAGGGTTTCAATTCCCTTGATGAGGTGTACAGTGCCGCCACACAAACTATGAAACTTGACCACAAAGATGTGGAGCATATTGGTAATGTCACCAAGCTGCAGTCCAAGTCTTTGGTGTGGTACGAGCAGAGGGCTGGTCGAATCACCTCATCCGTTTCCCACTCTGTTCTTCGCACCAGCACTACAAAGCCGTCACAGTACCTCATCAAATCCATATGTTGTGACAGGCCATCAAACTTGAAGACGACTGCAATTATGTGGGGGAACGAACATGAACAAGTTGCCAGGCAGCAGTATGCTGAGGGGGCCATCTCTTCAGTGCACAGTGATCTCAAAGCCAACAACTGTGGACTCCTCATCAAAAGGGAGCAGCCTTTTCTCGCTGCCTCTCCAGATGCCATGCTCGTGTCATGGGATGGGCGTGTTGGAGATAAAGTGCCCATTTAAATTTCGTGAGATGAGTGTAGAAGAAATGAGCAAGGAGAAAGACAGTTGTCTAGACCAGAATCTCGAGCTCAAGGAGTCACACCAGTACTACACGCAAACTCAACATCAAATGTATGTGACTGGTGCAAGCTACTTCCTTGTGTGGCTGCCCACTGGGGGGCATGTATGCACAGTTTTCCCTGACAAGGAGTACACCCTAACTTCTGTGCCTGTTTTAACAGCATTCCGGGAGGGACATATTCGCCCTGAGCTGTTGTTCAGAAAGTTGGAACTGGGTACCAAGCAAACTGAACATGGCAACAAGCAGAGTCATTGTTCGTGTGGCTCCGCAGATAATGTACCCATGCTAGGGTGTGATGATGACAAATGCACACACCAATGGTTCCACTGGGCTTGCGTTGGCATTACCAAGGAGCCTAGGTCCAAAACGTGGTACTGCGACAATTGCAAGTCCAGCAACACCAAGAGAAAGCGACAAAGGAGACAGTGAACGTTTCCTTCTCAGTGTGGACTTGTAGTTCATTGTATTTGTATGTTGATTTATGTATAGGCAGTAGGGGTGTAACGGTTCACAAACATTTCGGTTCGGTACGTACCTCGGTTTTTAGGTCACGGTTCGGTTCGGTACGTTTTCGGTACAGCAGAAAAAATTCTCACAAAACATAAAATATATATATATTTTTTTTTATTATTATTAAACTGTGAACTACAAATAAACAAAATGAACATAAAAGTGCAGCATTTCGATGAACTGAAATCTGTGCTTGAACTGTACTGTAGTACTCTGTTCGTAATACTAGTACTCAGACCTGAGCAGCCAGCAGATTGACATTAGCCGGCAGATTGCTTCTCATTGTATTTTCAGTTTTTTTTTAAAGAAAAATTAACTTGTCCACATTGGGCAGATCTGCTGGCACTAACAATGTCTCCTGCTGTGGAGAACACCCTCTCGCTAGGGACAGAGGTAGCAGATACAGCCAAGTAGCACTTTGCCAACATGGCAACATGAGGATATTTGGCCTCATTGTTCTTCCACCATGCAAGTGGGTCGGAGTCCAGTGAAGTGCTGTCCGCTGCCATGTATGAGGTAACCTCTCCCTTCACCAGCTGCAAAGTGGGCTTGTTTCTCTCCTCAGTGTTGAAGAGCTCACCAAACAGTTCTGCCATGGCTGACTTCCTGATGGGAGGAGGAGGAGGAGGAGGAGGAGGAGGAGGAGGAGGAGGAGGAGGAGGAGGAGGAGGAGGAGGAGGAGGAGGAGGAGGAGGAGGAGGAGGAGGAGGAGGAGGATTCTACAGATTCCTCTGGGTCTGCTCTCCCTGCGGATGACATGGCTCCTGCTGTCTCTGTGGCCTCCCTCTGCAGAATTAAATGACAGAAATAATGTTATATTTTACATGAGAGTACTATTCACATTGTAACAGCTATAACATGTTTCAAATTAAGCAAAAATTGAATTTATGCATAAGGAAATTAATTAATTGTATACCTGTTCTTCAATGGCCACAATCTCTGTGGTGAGACTGTTGTAGATGTGTTCACGGCAGGCATTATCCACATGAGAAAGGGCCTTGAACCTTGGATCTACAGCTGTGCATTTATGAAGAAAGTCCTGAAGAGCAGGGTCAGTGTATCTGTCCTTTAGGCTCCCTCTGATGGCAGCTTTGACTTCCTTCACAGTTGGACAGTCCTTCTCATTTGGTCCCATGGATTTAATCAGCATTGTTTTGAGAGGCAGGATCATTGAAACTGATGGAGTTGTTTCAGTGCACATCAGTGTTGTAATTGTTTTTAGGGGTTTAAGGACCTCAATTACCTCCTCTGCCATTCTCACATCCTGGTCACTCAATGTATTAATGTTTTTGTTTTTCTTGAGGGTCTTTTCTGTCAATGCTGAGTAAACAGCAGCTTGCTGCTCAAGATACCGCTCCACCATGTCATAACTGGAGTTCCAGCGAGTGGGGACATCATGGATGAGTTTGTGTTTTGGCACATTGAGCATCTCCTGTTTGCACTGCAATATATGTGCAGCTGTTGTGCTACGGTGGAAGAAAGACACAACACTCCTGATTCTGCCTAGCAGCCTGGACACCTGGTTGATTCCTGTTGCTTTTTGTGCTGCTAAATTAATTGTGTGAGCAAAGCATCCAATTTGGGGGCCCAGTCCAGCTTCACTGATTGCATTGACAATGTTTCTTGCGTTATCTGTTGTGACTGGAATTGTGTTACCTGGCCTCTCCAACTTCCATTCTGACACTACCTCCTTCAGTACCTCTGCCAGATTTGTGCTTGTGTGCTGTTCGTAAAGGGGGCGAGTTTGCAGGACGTGGCTTTGCATGTTCCAGTTGCAGTCAGGGTGTAATGTAGTGCGCCGTTACAGTTAAATAACTCTCGGTGGCCCGAGATGTCCACCCATCGGTCGTTAGAGCAATAGAAGATGCCTTGGATAGGTCGTGGACAACTGTTGTTTTTACTTTATTGTAAAGTGCTGGTATCACTTCCTGGCTGAAGTGCGGACGAGAGGGAACCTGGTAACGAGGCTCGACCACTCTCAACATGTGTTTGAACCCTATATTCTCCACAACGGAATATGGTCGCATGTCCGCTGCTATGAAAACACCTATGGCGTTTGTGATAGCTGTGGCTCGGTCGGAACTTTTTACGAGTGGTGGAGGCTTAAATGATAGTGGGAGTTGAGTTTGCACTTCAGTCATTTTTCGTTTGGTCCCGGTAATATTTACGTTCGGGTGATGTCTTTTCAGATGCGTGTGCATGTTTGTTGTATTGCCGGCCGCGTAACCAATGTGTGTCGAACAATGCCGACAAACAGCTCGGTCCACCTGTCTTTGTCCGTCATCGTTGTATGTAACTGCAAAACCATAATGTTATATAACTTTATAACTTCATAACTTTAATGTTGGTGGAGGATTTTCGAGCTCCACTTTCCCGTTCGCCATTTTGAGAGTTCCTCAAATTACTGACTAAATTTGAACGCATCCCTGTGACCAGCTCTCATAGTATGCCTCTCGTCCAATGAAATGACTTGCTCGCTCTATGACGCGTTGAACCCAATGTGAGCAAATTACTCTGAATGCTGCGACGCAGCACCTGAGATTACTTCCAAAAAGTTGTTCACGTTCTCAATTTTTTACGTTTAACGTTATATTCGTTCGGTACACTTCGGTACACACCCGTACCGAACCGAAGTGCCCGTACCGAATTATTTCGGTACGGGTACGTGTACCGTTACACCCCTAATAGGCAGGCACATGGGGTTTTCAATAGGCTCAGTTATTGTTGTGAACAATTATATGCAAAGGGGGTAATCTTGCCATTAATGTATACTAACATGCAGTATGTGTAGTATGTCCAATTCTGCCATGTTTGGAGTTGCCCGAAATAAATGTTTATATCCGAGAAGGATTATTAATGAATTAATATTAATGATTAATAAAGGCTTTTCTTGTAATTCTGCTCGTATGTGATCTCATATAGTGGATCATTGTAGTCCTTCATAGGCCCAGATTAAATTACAATTGAAACGATATTGTTGGCAACATGTATTCTTTGTGGAACACAAACAAATCCATGAAACTCTTATACAAAGACACCAGGTCAATATTTGAACAAAAAAAATAATACAGAAAATATGGATGGAATCCTAGGTAGAGTATCACAGAATCAACATACAACATATTTGATCTAATTCATTTTGGTCTAATTTATTTGTATTTATCATATTTATATGTTTAGTAGCTTGTGGAAGTGTGCTCCGAAATATTTGTTGATCTTGTTTATTGGTATTTATTATTTTGATATTATTTATTTAAATGTAAATATAAATGTATCATTTATTTAATTTATTTTTGTATTGGTTTTTCAGTTGAATTATACGTTCAGGGTAATCAACAGTTAAAAATATACTGTTCAAATTATTATTTGTTTTAAAGGATTTTTTCAAAGTCAATGAATAATCGTATTTAATAATCGTGATATCAATTATTGACCCAAATAATCGTGATTATGATTTTTGCCATAGTCGCACAGCCCTAATACAAAATATAACATGGTCAACTCTAAATGTAAGCATGTGAACTAGCAACCACACATACAAATTCATTCCTTGTATACAATCCCACCCCCAAGGTTAGTCAAAATTGCACATACCCCAACTATCTTATCTGCACTTGATTTGTCTACCTGATCTGTCTCATCCTTCAGAGATATGTCGAATCGGCAAAGTGCCTTGCAAAATAACAAAACGTTTTTTCATTAGGACAATCACACGCTCAATATGAATTCTAACCTATGACAATTTCCTAGAGGATTCAAGGTCTCTGGCTGGTAATTGACTCTGCCCTTTAGTGAATGCTGTGTGTGTGAGCAGCTCTACACCAGCAATACCCGCAAACTCTTCCTTCATCGTAAACCCCCTATCCGCTAGAACTTGGTCACCCGGGTGATGGTCACATTTAGTCAAGAATCCGCTTTGATGTACTATTTCCACATCGCTCACCCTCCCACCCCAGGCATCAGACAGAAAACAAATGGCACCAAGTGGGTTACATGCAATAAGAACTTCATAGAGAACACTTCAAAACAATCTATGATACAAGTCAGTCTAGGGTACTGAGCCTTGAATGCAGGTGGCATATTAGAAAATATGCACTCCCTCTCTGGCCAACTAACAACACGCTTCAGTTTCACAAAGGCTACATCCATCCACTTCCAAAAATGATCTATGAGCGTGCTCTGAGGGATGCCTACCTGGTCTGCCAAATACTCAAACATCATGCCATGTTTCAACTTAACTATCATATAAAAAAACTGATCAATGTAGGGGATGGATGGGGTACCTTTGCATGTCACCGAAACTAGCAAGAATTGAAAAGTGGATAGAAAAATGGGCCAAGTTAGTCCGGTGTAATACTTACACTTCTCATCGTTGTCAGCAACAGTGTTCGAAGACAGCCGGATAGAGTTGAGGCTGGCCCTAGCATGGTCCCTCTCAGCAAGAGCAGCATCTCTTTCCGCCCTGAGTGCAGAGATCTCATCAAAGAGCATCTGTTGAGACACGGAAGGTGGAGACACTGAACTGGTCGACGGTTGAGGCGAATCAGGAGTAGGTTGATGCTGTGGAGGTTCGAAGGCCACTCTGCACTTCTTTGTTGAGGGCCCATTTTCTTTGCCAAGCATCTTCTTGCCATGACGAGACATAGCATTGGAGAACCTAATACACACAAACATTACATATACCAGGGGTTAGGGCTAGGGATGTAACGATATACCGAATATCGCGGTAAATAAACGTCCCAATACCGTCATGAGACTGACAAAATCAACGGTTTTTATTTTTATTTTTTTAAAACACTTTTTTTTGTTTTAAACCTTTATTTAACCAGGTGGTCCCATTGAGATCATCGATCTCTTTTTCAAGAGAGACCTGTCCAACATGGCAGCAAGTAGGTTACAACATGAACATAAAACAACAGAACACAAAAGGACATTGTATTTACAGTGCTACATGTTCACACCTAGAGAAATTGACAAGTACCAACAGTATATTTATATCTCTGTCAATAAGCCTCACCTTCTTGGCAACAACTGTATTGTTTTTGAAGTGGTGGAGAGACAATGCACAGTTTGACCCACTGCTGTCACCCATGGCCAAAGCATATCTCTCCGTCCCTCCCACTGAGGTGGCGTTAGACTTTTTCGCTGTCCGTCATTTTGACAGACAGGATCGTAAAATACCCGTCATAATCCCTTATTACCCGTCGGGTCTGAACAGAGAGAGAGAGCACGCTCGTGAACTGTCAACGGGGGGGGGGGGGGGGGGGGGGCGGTGTTATGCCGTGTGTGCATGCACCTCGCGGGAGCGCGCACAGCGTAACAGCCCGTCCACACAGCAGCGTGCGTTGAAGCTTCCAACGCTTCTGCCCATTCACTTTGAATGGGGTGACGTCACTTTTAGCCATGTTCAACTTTTGACGCCTCGGCAGAAGCGTCAGCCAATCGAATCATATGCCAGTACAAGCTCTAGCCAATCAAACCGCTGCTTGTGTGTCAGGGGCGGGAGATTCATGTGATTGGTTGTTGGTCGAGTGTCAGACACGCCCGCCGGCAAGCGTCAACGCACGCCGCTGTGTGGACGGGCCATAAAGCAAAACCTCCCAGACATGTATTGATCTGTACGGCAAAGTACGGTTTGGAAACTATATCATTTCCTTTTGGAGGGCATGCATAACACGGCATAACACCAGAGCCTCGCTGCGGGGAAACGTTGGCGCTAGTTTGTTCTAATCTGTCAAAATGACAGACTGCTTTCAGATTTTTCCGTCATTGTTAAATAAAATATTCGGTTAACGCGACCACTGCTGTCCCAGCAACATCAGTACCAAGCGAGAGAGTTGTTTCCAGAGCAGGGGATATTGTAAATGCCCAAACATCCCAGCTTATAAATACCTGGAAATGTGGACTAGGGCTGTGCGATTATGTCAAAAATCATAATCACGATTATTTGGGTCAATAATTGATATCACGATTATTAAATACGATTATACATTGACTTTGAAAAAATCTATTTATTGAACTTTAAAACAAATACAAATAATAATTTGAACAGTATCTTTTTAACTGTTGTTTACCCTGAACGTATAATTCAACTGAAAAACCAATACAAACATAAATGAAATAAATGATACATTTATATTTATTAATGCTGTCAAAATTATCGCGTTAACGGCGGTAATTAATCTTTTTAATTAATTGCGTTAAAATATTTGACGCATTTAACGCATGTGCAGAATGGCCCGCCCCATACATCCCACCAGTGGCAGCGCCAGGGTATGGCTGGGGTAGGCTACACCCATACCAAGAAATGGCTTAGCCCCACCATGAAAAATGATGTTAAAGGAAGCAAAATAAAGTCCGACAACTCGCGGAGTAAATTGCACAGACAGCAATTAGTCAGATTGATTTCAGCCACTTGTCTGGAAATACCGAAGACCAGAAACGGTTTTGAAAACTTTTGTCACGTAGTGATCGTCTTCTCAATAGAACATCTTTGATAATGTCTTCTGGCCAATCAGAATCAAGATCACGGAGTGGTGTTGTTGCAGGAAGTCCCGACGGAGAATACTTTTGCTGTAGTAGGTGCACATAACTGGTACTGGCATGCGTGGCAACAATCTGAAATGCTTACCGTCACTTGTGTCACAAAGCGCATTTGCGTACCGACGTACTTGTGAAGCTTTTCCAGAAGGCGGTTAGATCACCCCCCCCCCCCCGGTGTTGATAGAAATCAACACGTAATGAAATAAGACCCCACGGTTTGATGATTGATAGGTGTGTGTGGGCCGACTTTCCTTTTGACACACAGAACAATGTTATAATAAACATAGATACTGTATGTTAAATGGATATATCCGCCTTCTTTCATTTATCTTTCCATTCCCACAACAATATACATAAAGAAATGGCATATTTTGGACATAGTTCGAATGGTGATTAATCTGATTACAATTTTTAATCGTTTGACAGCCCTAATATTTATATATATAATTGATATTAAAATTAGGGCTGTCAAGTTAACGCCACTAATAATAAAAAAAATGAACGCCACTAATTATTTTAACGCGATTAACGCATTTTTTGTCCTCGGCCGCCTCGTAGTTTTAGAGCGCATCGAGTTTAAAAGTACCATCTACAAGCTGATGCCGCCCGCTTGCTGCAGACCACATTTCCACGCTCACCGGCAGGCACCGACTGGCCATCGGGAGGACCGGGAGAGACCTTACGTGGATTGTTGTTGTTAGCATCTGGTGCTAGTTAGCTGCGCTAACGGATATAAGGAGCTGTTTAAATAAAAACAGAGGAGCGACATTTCACCGACAACTGCGCAGAGCACTTGACTTTATGCAGGAAGCCAGACAGTGCACGAGAAATCAGCACACTCAGCTCGAGCATATGCCTTGAGTTGCACATAGCTCCAACGATCCACACACACACACACACACACACCACACACACACACACACACACACACACACACACACACACACACACACACACACACACACACACACACACACATTCACACACACACACACACCCACACCACACACACACACACACACACACAACACACACACACACACACACACACACACACACACACACACACACACACACACCACACACACACACACACACACACACACACACACACACACACACACACACACACACACCCACACACACACACACACAATTGTATTATTGAATGAGAGAGATTCCAGGTTGAATTGAGGCGAATATTTGTAATGTTCAGAGGTCGTTGTGTTTAATATTCATGAGTTATTTGTCATTGTTCAAATGATAATAAACATTAGCATAAAGCATATGTGTCCACTCATATGTTGATAAGAGTATTAAAAACTTGAAAAATATTCCTCTAAGGTACATTTAGAACAGATCAAAAATGTGCGATTAATTTGCGATTAATCGCGATTAACTATTTTTAATCGTTTGACAGCCCTAGTTTATATATATCATTTATATTAAAATACGATTAATTGCACAGCCCTACCAGGGGTGATAACTAACACCTACCCACAGCTGGTATGTTATTGTAAAATTGTACTTCACATCTATCACAACAGTATTACAGTGTTCGATTTAGGCCAGGCATATCATCAGTATATACATGAATTTTCGCGAACCTTCTCAGTTTCTGGCACTTGTCAGCTGTTGGTAGTTTCCCAGGCGTAGCAAATTTGGTCGGGATGTAATCTGGATGGCCGGGCTCCTTGGAAGGCTGCCCTGAAAAACAGATAAGAGAACTTGGAGTCATGCATATCAGTGTGCCTCCTCTAGTCTAAAGTAAGATAAGTGTCATCAGGGAGGTGATATATACAGATATATCACCTCCCTGATGTCATCAATGAGGTGGTACACATTCCCTGATCCTAGTATCCCCGACAGCTAACTCAAGTATTATAATTGATTGATTGATACATTTATTTCGAACAAGTAAAATAAATAATTTACAAAACAGAACAAATGTTGTAGTGCATAGTCATGCAAGAGAAATTAAAACAAAACAACAAATTACATTTACAACAACAGCATTTGCAACATAAACAGTGCCATGTCTAGTGTTCGAAAAGGAGTGAGAAGAAGTATAACTTCATTTCATTTCAAACCTTTATTTAGACAGATAGGTCCCTTGAGATCACGGATCTCTTTTACCTGCATCAATTTAGTTCCACATGAAACATAAAAACAACATAAAAACAAACAATAGAGGACATCATATTTACCAACACTTACAAACACCCATAGTGTCAGAAAGCATCTCGTGCAGACGTGCCTTAAAACATTCAGAGAAATAAAATTGCTCAAATTAAATTTGGACTGTAGGCTGTTCCAAGCAAGTGGAGCTGCGCACATAAAAGCTGTCTTACCTAAAACAGTCCTTACTCTTGGTAAGAAAAGGAGTGAGAAGAAGTATAACTTATTTAATCTCACCCCCTAGTCCCTAAATGATTTATTTATAATCTATGATCTGCAATAATTATAATTATCATTATTATTCATTATTCTTGTCATTCATTTCATTTCATTTCAAACCTTTATTTAACCAGATTGGTCCCATTGAGATCATAGATCTCTTTTTCAAGGGAGACCTGCAGCAAATAGGTTCCACATGAAACATAAAACAATAAAGGACATCATACATTATATTTACAGGATACATTTACATAGTTATAGACATTTATAAGTGGCCATAGTATCAACGAGCATTTCATTTAGCCTAGCTTTAAAAACATGCAGAGGAATGAGATTGCTCAGTTTCAATTCTTACTGAAGATTGTTCCAAGCAAGTGGAGCTGCACATAAAAGCTGTCTTACCTAAGACAGTCCTTGCTCTTGAAACATCTAACAATACTACATCATGCGATCTCAGACAATAGCTGCTTGCAACTCTCTGTGTTATCAGAGAGCAGATATAATACGGGAGTTTACCCAACAAAGCTTTATAAATGAACGTGTACCAGTGACTGAGCCTCTTTACAGTAAGTGATGGCAGACCTGCCTCGGTATACAGGGTACAGTGATGAGTAAGTGCTTTACAATTTGTGACAAATCTCAGTGCGCTGTGATAGGCGGCATCTAACTTGTTCAGGCAATAGGCAGGTGCATTCATATAGACCAGATCACCATAGTCCAGCACAGGTCAAAAGGTCACAGAGCCTTTTCCTGGCTTCAAAAGAGAAACAGGACTTGTTTCCTGAAAAAGAAACCTAGCCTAACCCTCAGCTTTTTAAGCAGATTAATGACATGAAGTTTAAAAGTGAGACAATCATCAAGCCAGATACCAAGGTATTTATAACTGGTAACCACTTCAAGTACTTGTCCTTGCATAGTAACAATATCCAAAACAGGCTCTGGTGTCTTTTTAGCTTTTGAAAATAGCATTACCTTGGTTTTATCAACATTATCATTATTGATCTGCTTTACCTGTTGATTGATATACATAAACACATACACTGATATATATGCATACATATGCACACCTACATACTCACACATAAACACATAGTCAAACACCTTCCCTATCCCTGTACCTCGAGAAAATAATGTCTCTGTATTTCCTCTTGAACTGGTTAATGTCTGGACATCGCTTTAGCTCCACATTCACACATTAATGACTTGTCATAGCTGATGTGTGGCTCAGTTTACTCTGTGAAAGATGGACAAGTAGCAGGGAGTATGTACATTGTCATTGGTAGATAGGAACTACAATTTTGGGGCTGACTAGACCAACCATGATGCTATGCTACCATGCTATGATTCTGCTGTAGAGGAAGGTAAACAGTAGTTTGGTCCAGTCCGGGCTAGGGGCGGACATCAGATTAATCATAAACATAGTAGTTGTTCTGAAATACAACTTCAACTTACCAGAAATGAAGTGTGCCGAGCAGATGTACACATATTGCACGGTGTCCTTGGGTTTCCACGGCTTGTGAGTGATGGCATCGACGCGAGCGCAAGCTCTCGCCCACTGGGCCCTCCGTCCTGGCTGTTTTTCGTGACTGGGGAACTTGAAGAAAGAAAACTTGGATTTTCCATTACTACGTATCATTGAATTATGATTTCTACAAGTCCCAGCACTACACCACTTCACCATCTTCAAAGTGTTGTATCTAACAAGTAAGTAACACGGCTAAACCCCCTGCCTGCTTGCACCTCACGTAAAATGGCGGATACCGGAAGTACGGTGTCCTCTTCTTCTTCTTCTTCTTTAGTGTTTATTGGCGGTTGGCAAACCAACTTTTAGGTGCATTACCGCCACCAACTGGACTGGAGTGTGAACAAGAGACTATGCAGAAAACAATAAACAAAAGAAACAAAACAAAGAACCAAAACTCTAGATTATTTTAAATTGATCAATTTCTCTTAGAAACGTAATAATCTCACAATATATATTGCCTGATTTTTTTCCCTAACAGCCCTGATAGCGACAAGTCATGGAATTTTGCTTTCTTGAGTGTCTGGAAAAGCACATTTCTCTGAGTACTATATTTCCTGCAAAGCAGTAAAACATGCTCAACAGTTTCTGGCTGGCTGCAGTGTATACACTTTCCGGTTGGATGCTTTCCTATTATACTTAAAGTATGATTGAGACCTGTATTATACTTAATGTATGATTGAGACCTGTATTATACTTAAAGTATGATTGAGACCTGTATTATACTTAATGTATGATTGAGACCTGTATTATACTTAATGTATGATTGAGACCTGTATTATACTTAATGTATGATTGAGACCTGTATTATACTTAATGTATGATTGAGACCTGTATTATACTTAATGTATGATTGAGACCTGTATTAAACTTAATGTATGATTGAGACCTGTATTATACTTAATGTATGATTGAGACCTGTATTATACTTAATGTATGATTGAGACCTGTATTATACTTAATGTATGATTGAGACCTGTATTATACTTAATGTATGATTGAGACCTGTATTATACTTAATGTATGATTGAGACCTGTATTATACTTAATGTATGATTGAGACCTGTATTATACTTAATGTATGATTGAGACCTGTATTATACTTAATGTATGATTGAGACCTGTATGACCTATTCGCATCCGAGAAATGACATTTTCCTCCCTTCTTTTAAACCGCACCTTCCTTCCATCCCCCACATACCTTTGAATGTTATAATGATGTCTTCCGTTATCACTAAGGTCCCAATGATCTTGCCATGTTGTTTCTGCATATTCCTGAATGAATGTTTGAACCTCCGCTTTGCTGAGTGGAACTTCTATGTCTATGTTCATACTTCTGAGTGTTTGTTTGGCCAGAATATCCACCTGTTCATTACCTCCACACCAACATGAGCAGGAACCCAGATGAAACGAGTTGCTCTGCCTTTGATTTGCATTTTATATAAAATTAGAAATATTTCATTTATTATGTCCATTCTAGATGAAGATCTGCCTGATCGTATACTTGATAATGCTGAAAAGCTGTCAGATGCAATTATACTATTATATATTTCTTTCTCCTCTATCCATTTCAATGACAACACAAATGCCAACAACTCTGTGGTGTATACTGACACATGGTCTACGGTGTCGCCCTCGGCCCAATACCCGTATGTGTGTGTGAAAGAATCTGCACACTGCCGTCGCCTTTTACGTTTCTAAGGTAAGCGGACATGACACTATTCAGCAAACCTATAAATAATAATCTAAGTTATTGAGTTTTTAGCATAATACTTCAGAATCTTAAAATCCCTTAACGTTTGTATGCAATTGTGCTAAATTCAACACTGGAATCAAGCAAATATTAATATCTTTGCATGACATTAGTTATTTATATTTTGATATCACTTAATTATACATTTAATACATTTAAATCAAGCTAAGGTGCATGTGATGCAGGCCCGGCTCCAGGATGAAATGACTGAGGGGGCTGTTAAAAAATCCGAAGGGGCTATTTATTTTTCACAACAACGAAAATTATTAGCAATGTAATGAATTGACACACCGAGCTTTTTTCCTTCTCACTGCTCTACAATCTCTTTGCTTCTTTATTTTTATTCCGGATTGACCTCTCTCATTCTGTTATTTTCCTCTGATCTTTAATAATAGATAGTACATTATTAGATGGCTGCACTTTGGTTAACAGACTAACATTGATTTCCTCAATTTATAAATAGACAGGCTCTGTAATTATAGCATAACCTGTTCTCCTCTATCCCTTAACTCGTCTTCCTATACAGATTTACTTACATCTAGTCAGGATTAAAGAAACATTAATCTGGTTGATTTTTTATTTTCAGGATTGAATGTTCAAATCAAGGCCTAAAACCTGGCATTTCATAAGAAAGTGACTAATATATAAACCAAATGTAATATCAAATACTACACCAAATGGACAGACACAGATCAAACATTTAAATAAAGTCCCCTAGTTTGTCTCTAGAGTCTAACTGCCATGAGAAAAATGTAATGTTCCAAAATCCGTCACTAGATGTCGCTCATTGTACCAATACGGTTGATATAATACATAACATATTATTATTCTAGTAAAAGGGCTCGCTTTGGCAAAAACCTGAGCCATACAGGCAGCCCTAAATAATAACAAGTGTGGTGCTATCTGTAGTTGTCCGTCTTATTTTTTGTTGATGTCATATTGTTTTCACAGTGCTGTAAAATGAATTTCCCCCTGGGGAAAATACATCTAATCTAAACTAATTTTATATTCAATCCCACACTTAGCGATTGAGAACATAAATTCGTAACTTACCTCGTTTAAAGCACTTTTGTTGTAATACTATGGAATTAGTTGACACTACTAGCCGAGTTTCTATAGTCCAATATTTCGCGGGCAGGTACATTGAATTAGAAGTAGAAGAAGAAGAAGAAGTAGAGGTAGAAGAAGAAGTTACAAGAACTAAAGAAAGTGAAGACATTTACATTTCTGGGAATATGGCTGGACGAGAGTCACATGGAGTACTCACATTGATAAAGTAGTAGATGAATGTAAAAAGGTTTTAAATGTTATGAGGTGCTTGGCAGGCACTAAGTGGGGGGCTGATAAAGCTGCTTTGAGGAACGTATACACAGCCTTAATTAGATCAGTCATAGAATACGGACTAATATGGTTCAGCTGCATACTCTTCTCTTCACAAAGAGACAGAGTCCAGGCACAAGCACTAAGGATATGCTGTGGGGCAGTCAGATCTACACCAGTGTCGGCACTTCAGGTAGAGGTTGGAGAAATACCGTTAATTGTTAATTACTGGGCAAATCTACAGGGCCATAAAGATACTCACCCTACTAAACAAACTGGAAAAACAAGTTGGGAAAGTAACACAATTAAAAAAGAAAGTGTTTGTGTTTAGGAATTATGTAAGGAATTCAAAGTTAAAGAATGGAATATTAGTCTGACGGTGTTGTTATCAGCTGTTCCACCATGGTTGCTACCTCAACCTGTAGTAGATTTATCCTTATTGAAACGGTTACATTCAATGAAAAGTCAAATCAATGTGCAGGCTTACGTGAACACTGTTCTACATGAACAATATGGGCAGTTTATACACATATTTACTGATGGATCCAAAAATCCAGAAAATGGTCAAACTAGTTGTGCATTTTATGTTCCTGAGTTAAAGGTAAAAGTGGGAAAGCGAACGAGTGATCACATCGCAGTATATACAGTAGAGATGATGGCTATCTCTCTAGCACTTCAGTGGGGAGAGGAAACACAGCCAATGCGAGTGGGCATTTGCTCTGACTCCAGCGCAGCTCTGGAGAGTATAAACAACTTCTCTTCAGAATGCCGTCAGGATATTTTACATGACATTTTACACATCATGTTTAGGTTAGTTCATTTTGGAATTGTTGTTCAATTTGTGTGGGTTCCAGCGCATGTGGGTATTAGAGGGAATGAGGTAGTGGATCAACTGGCAAAATGTGGTTTGAAAGCAAAGCAGATTGATATTATGGTACCATCAGTAGAGCAGAAGTCAAATCTATTACAAAAGTTGTTATCAAGCAACAATGGCAAAAACTATGGGACAGTAACACCAAAGGAATACATTTATACCAGATACAAAGGGAGGTAGGAACGGGAAGCACTTGGGGGAGTAGTAGAAGAGAACAGAGCATTAACAGCAGGATAACATTGGGTCACTCTGGATTAAACTCAACACTGCATCTCATTGGAAAACATCCAAATGGCAATTGTGATGGTTGCCAATAACCAGAAACAATACATCATGTATTGTATTCTTGACCTATTTTGTTCACATTATATATGCTTCCGTTAGGTAATATTATAAGGAATCATTCTGTACATTTTCATTGTTATGCGGATGATACTCAACTATATTTATCAATCAAGCCTGATGAAATTAATCATCTAAATAAAATTCAAGACTGCCTTAAGGACTTAAAAACGTGGATGACCTTAAACTTGTTGATGTTAAACACGACCAAAACTGAAGTTATTGTACTTGGCCCGAAGAATCTACGAAACAAATTATCTAAGGATATACTAACTATGGATGGCATTAATTTGGCCTCCAGTGAGACTGTAAGGAATCTTGGTGTTATATTTGATCAGGATTTATCCTTTAACGCCCACATAAAATCAATTTCAAGGACCGCCTACTTCCATCTACGTAACATTGCAAAAATCAGGCATATCTTGCCTCAAAACGATGCAGAGAAACTAGTCCATGCATTTGTTACTTCAAGGCTGGATTATTGTAACTCTTTATTATCAGGGTGTACCAAGAAGTCAGTCAAGTCGCTTCAGCTGATTCAAAATGCTGCAGCTCGTGTACTAACCAGAGTTAGTAAAAGGGACCACATTACTCCTGTTCTGGCTGCCTTACACTGGCTCCCTATAGAACACAGGATAGAATTTAAAATTCTTCTTCTCGCCTACAAAGCCCTTAATGGGCAGGCGCCATCTTACCTTAAAGAACTCATTATACCCTACTGTCCTACTAGGGCAGGGGTGGCCAACCAGTCAGAGGTTAAGAGCCACATTTTTTCTATGTTACTGCAAAGAGCCACATCAAACACACAGTCACTGATACCGCTTGTTTCAGTTTTTTGTTTTCTGGAGACAAGATTTCAACCACGTCACTGATGCATTTTTGTGGCATTGGGATATTTTTTTTTAAATCCTCTGGAGCAGAGAGAGGAGCTGTGGATTATTGTTATTGATTAATGCATCAGTGTTTCTTAGGGTCAAAAACACTAAACTCACAACTTAAAATGAAAGTGTTTAGTTTATTTAATAAAAGAGCACATGTTCAATGTGAAAAGTGACAGTAGTTATAGATTATTTGCAATTTGGTGCTATGTATATATTAAAAAAAAATAATAATTATATATATTTTTTAAACACCTTGAATTTCAGGGGGGGGCACGGGGCTCCGTTGGCGGGGCGCAGCGCCCCTCCAAGACAATGGTAGGGGAAACACTGGATAGTGTTTAATCAACGATAGGATTCCCCCCCCTCAAAGGTGATTGGTTCACTGCATCACAGGTATTATTGTGATTGGCTCTTGGGCCACATCAAAATTAGACGCGCTGTCATCCTCTCATACTGACACCTGACACCACACATACACACGTAGGGAGAGCCGGGACGAAAGTAACACGGGACGAAAGT